ACTTATAATGGAATTCGTTACTTCACATAGTAGATTTTGAAATGAAAGTTGGAGTTTGTAAAAATGATATTAGGATTAAGCCTCCGTTTGTTTCTCATTTTTCATCCATAAAAATGAAAAATATGACTGTTATCCATCACAAATCATCAATTTTGAATTTTTATATCTTGTATAGAGTTCAATAACGAATATATTTTTCATTCTCATTCTATAATAATGAGAATCAAACTGTCTTTATAACATTTGTAATTTGAATGCTAGAATGGTATATTGCATTTTCCCATATGAATATCTATCTATTTGTTTCAAATAAAAATAGATAAATCTTACAGAGTTTTCAAGTGTGGCATACTTATTGATTTGGACTATAATTAGAGAGGAGTCAACATAGTTAATTCAGTGGGTGAAGCGAAAACAATACAGGACTTGACAAGTTTCAGAAGAGACGAAAATCGGATAAGGCTGTACAGAGATTGTGGGACCAAGGTTAAAAATCTTTCTTTCTTAAACATTTTCCCAAGAACTTTTCACACGGAGTATAACATGTCACTGTCAGTCATATAGCACCATTTCTTTCGGTAAGAGTGTATACCCACAACCCCTTATTCCACTTATTATTAGTGAAAAAAGATGAGTTTTTTCTCATATTTCAACAGAGTTCTTCATGGTTACTCATCTGGCTCTAAGCTTTTGGTTCTCTGCTCTATCAGGTTCTGTTTGATCCCCTTTTTAAGCATAACGTTTGCATTTCATGCTTATTTGTTAATTACTATTCCTGCAGAACCTCTGTTTTTCTTTTCACTTCAAAATTTGGTACCATTTGCAAACTCTCTGTGAAAATTTAATTTGATTTAATAATTTTTTTCCTTAAAATTGGTGAAACATTCTAGGGTTAGTTTTATAATCTGTAATGCGGGGTCGGTTTTTTAATAATTTATATGAATTTATTTTTTTGAAGATTGTGTTTTCATTGTTTTGGATTTTGGATTGTTAAGGGACATGTTCTTAATTTCAGATTAAATAGGAGTATGCCTAATTTATTAGTTTCTTTATTATGGTATGAATCAGGATTATATCATGAGTTGTATCATCGATACCACTGTTTGTCCCTTTTTTTTTTTTGCTGAAGTTGTGCTATTAAATCAACAAAACACCTTATCACGATTTTAAGGAGAACTACTTTACATCAACGCATTCAATTTAGCGGTTGGTTTTGTTGTTACAGTCTGCCCATAAGTTTAGTCCTATGAATCTTTTCCCGAGATTGGCATATTTAGTAGGGAGGAGGGATAGAAATCAACTATACTAAGGAAGGAAATGAAGTTAAACTGTCTTGTGCATTGCACACCAAACATTCTCAGTATGTACACGATTCAATAATCTCTCCCTTAGAAATACCCCTTAGCATTTATCCACAGCTGAATTTGAATTTTGTCCATTTGTGCTCTCTGTTTCAGTAGTGGAGGTCTCATTGCATGTGCAGACGCACATTCAGATGGTGAAAGATCCGCTGTTGAACACAATCAAGAGGAACCACAGAAGAAAAGGGTGGTGGTGCTTGGTACGGGATGGGCCGCTACCAGCTTCCTGAAGGATCTGGATGCAAAATCTTATGATGTTAAGGTGGTTTCACCAAGAAATTACTTTGCCTTTACCCCTTTGTTACCTAGTGTCACGTGTGGAACAGTTGAGGCACGAAGTATTGTAGAGCCTATCCGAAACATTACAAAAAAGGTAAACAGGGTTTTAAGGTTGGAATTTGTTGGGCACGTTCTCCTACTCAGAATAGCTGCATATGAAACACTCAATGCATGTTTGGTACACGGAGTCATGGACAACACTCAGATTACGATCTTGTTTTTGTAGCTTTCGGCCCTATCCACTACTGCTTACTAAACATGCTATTGTTTTTGTTGATGCATACGTATATTTGGCAGTAATTTTGCCGTCCTCACAATGCTTAAATTCAATTTTACATTTTTTCAGCTTCTTGATATTTTTTTAAGTTCAGGGTTTCACTAATTGTATACTTGACCTACCGAAGAATTTTATTCTTAGTGTTTCTATCCATAAACTATTGTTCTAACAGAGAAGTGGGCAAATCCAATTCTGGGAAGCGGAATGCCTCAAGATTGATCCAGCAAACAAAAAAGTTTTCTGCCGTTCCAGTGTTGATGAAAATTTAGTCGGAAGTGACGAATTCTCTTTAGAATATGACTATTTGGTTATAGCAGTTGGAGCCCAAGTAAACACATTTAACACACCTGGTGTCTTGGAGCATTGCCATTTTCTGAAGGTAATCTTCTCATTCACGGAATCAATGTATAATTTTCCTTAAATACTATATGACCAGTCATGAAATGGAAACCGATGAAGATAGTGAGCTATCTCATGAGATGATAATGCTTTGTCAATTGTGTCTTTGTAAAAATATGCGTAGAATAGGATTTGACTTAATCAAAAATCAAAAGTCTTTCTTTTTGCGCACCTATATAGGAGCCTCCTCCTTGTATTTTCTCCATCCCAATTTGAGTGAGAGAGCTCGACAGAACTATCTTTTGGTGAAACATCGAATTTTTCTTAATCTTGCATGGGATAAACTTTGTGATGATTGGAGATTGTGGATTGAGTACTTTGTACTCTTTTATATTCTCTTGTTAGAGATTTGTACAGCCTTTTACATGTGTAATGAAGCAAACACAAAGTCACACAAATGTGGGAAGTAAAATCGAAGACAAGCGCCAAAAATTTAACGAGGTTTGATCTAATCCGATCTACATCCCAGAGCTCCACTGGGCGCACAAAACATGTGCTAAGGAACATCAGATCCAACATTTACAAGCCACATTCCCAACAGAGGACATCAACTGACCAGATACACAAAGAACTATTCATCTGCTAACTGAGTCCTCACTCTCACGTCATAAATGGTGAACAATATACACTAACACACCCAAAAGCCGACAAAAATCTCAAATCTAACAAGAGACTAAGAAGGATCTTGATGAACCCTATTAAGAAGAAAACCAATTAGATAGAATACGGAGAGTTCTGTAAACATGTGAGAGAGAGTAATACTTTGGGCTAAGTCATGTTTTGTCCTGTCTGTCCATGTGGCACTGGCATCAATCCACCCTTTCAGGACTAAAGTCTCACTTCACAGGGTCCTAGGCTTTTAAGTGCAAAAAACATGTTTTAGCTGAACCACAACTTACATCTCCTTTTGATTTCTAGTGAATGGGACATAGGCCTAGTGTCAAACCGCGTAAAACCTTTGTGTTGTTTGTGTCTCTTATATTTACCTGAAATCCAAATTCTGGGCCTTGTTTGCAACACTTCTTCTTAAAATATTTCAAGTGCTCGTAAAATATTTTGTTTAACCAAGAAATGATAAACATTTCTTTCAGGAAGTAGAGGATGCTCAAAGGATTCGTAGGGCTGTAATAGATTGTTTTGAAAAAGCTGTCCTTCCGGACTTGACTGAAGAGGAACGGAAGACTAATCTCCATTTCGTAATTGTAGGAGGGGGTCCAACTGGTATAGAATTTGCTGCAGAGCTTCATGACTTCCTACATGAAGACTTACTCAAAATATATCCTCTGGTTACTGATTTAGTGAAAATAACTGTAATCCAATCCGGAGATCATATCTTAAACATGTAAGGATCCCTCCCGTATATGTTTTCACATTGCTCTGAGAGCCTGTTTGGTATGCACTGGATAGAGACTGGACTGTTTAATGTGCAAGATTTTAGCTTTTTTTAATTCCAAAATGCTGCCCAGTTTCAATTCTCATTTCGGACAATACCATGAATAGCGGAAGAATCATGACTTTTTCAAATAGTAATACTGAAATCATTTCTTAAAATTAAATGCTTATTAAAAAGTATCATGAAATGAGAACTTCAATCTTGTACCTGTCTCTGTAGGTTCGATGAAAGAATTAGCTTATTTGCTGAACAGAAGTTTCAACGAGATGGTATTGACGTTTTAACAGGATGTCGCGTAGTAAATGTCTCTGATAAATTGGTTAACATGAAAATCAAATCAACTGGAGAGGACGTTTCTGTGTCACATGGGATGGTGTTGTGGTCAACTGGGGTAGGCACTCGGCCAGTTGTGAAGGACTTCATGGAGCAAATTGGCCAGGTATGCTTATTGTGGAATTTATCTATGTACAGCTTTGGAATACACAAACAAGATTTTAGCTTCTCTTTCTTAAAACAGTCCAGGTCTAAGTCTTCCCCACCAAACATGCATATATACAGACACTGCGATTACTTTGCTATTGCATAGTTACAATATTTTTTTTAATCTTTGTCTAAGTGAATATCTAGTCATGATGAGTACTGTTACATCAGCTAGTTTCATATGTGCTCTGTTGTGTATAAAGGGAAATAGGCGGATACTGGCAACTGATGAATGGTTGCGTGTAAAAGGATGTGAGGATGTATATGCCCTTGGTGATTGTGCCACTGTAGATCAACGTAAAATCATGGTACATGAGCTAATGTACTGAGCTTTCTATGCAGAGGGAATATATTACTTTACCATATTATGTGTTATATCTCTACCATTGTTTTTTAGGAAGATATCTCGACTATATTTAAAGCTGCTGACAAGGATGATTCTGGTATCCTTGCTATTGAAGAATTCCAAGATGTGGTTGAGGATATTATAATCAGATACCCTCAAGTGGAATTGTATTTGAAAAGCAAGCATTTTTCCAACCTGGCTGATCTGCTAAAAGATTCAGAAGGGAATGAGAGGGACGCAGTAGATATTGAAGGTTTTAAGTTAGCACTGTCCCATGTAGATTTGCAAATGAAGAGTCTTCCTGCTACTGCACAAGTATGTTTACTTGGATTTCTCCATTTCACTTATGGAATATTTGGTAATGTGGATTAGATAGCAGTAAACAGTATTAAATAAGAAAAGTAATTTAAAATTTTGTTCACTGTACACTTCAGTACAATCTAATACTAGATATGGAAGACGCACTTGATGGTTATGGAGTATGTAGTGATATTTAATTTAACCTCTTTAATATCAGGTTGCTGCTCAACAAGGTGCATATCTTTCTAGGTGCTTTAACTTAAAGTCGAAAGGTAAACATGATCCGGAAGGCCCTCGTCGGTTTAATCGATCTGGTCGTCATGAATTCCGTCCTTTCCGGTACCCCTTTCTCTCTGCAAGGCTACCCAGCATACTTTTGTCTTCCATAGTTATATGCATAACTCAACGTCCTCCTAATTAAGCTGATATAAATGGGACGTATTGTTAAAATAATGGAACATGTAATGTATCTCTTCTTGTTCCTCGTGCCCACATGGTTTGGAGTGTCCTTGCTGATCAGCTGATGAGATCAAATTAGCAATTTTACTACTGAATCACCAGAAACGTTTTATTCGTATATAGATCTTTGTCTGTATGTATGTCTCTCTTATTCAGAGGGATGGAAATTTGTTTATACACATATTGCTGATCTTCTTTTATTTTCTATTTTATGTTTTTCTTGAGATGTCAAAAACTATGTTCTCATCACTAACATATTTAACAGAGGATTAACCTTGTTCCAAATGAAACGTGGAGGAAAAACTTTTCAAGTAGATAATTGCTGCTGTATTGTAGGTATTCTATGGTGAATGTTTGGTTTGTTGTTAGTATCTGCATGTTGATGTATTAAAGTCTCTGCTCGTCTCGAACTCTTTATTTGAAGAGTAAGAACTGATATCTTAGTAAAAGAATGAGAGAAAGAAGTTAGGAATCCTCTTTTCAACTCTGACTCTTCCCCTTTAGTTATTGCTTTTCTTTCTATTACTTTGAAAGTAGCTGCTTCAGCTTCAGCCACTCGAATTTTTGATATTCTTGTTTATTTCTTATCAAACGAATGTCATCTTCTTCTAGAATTCCTAGCTATTCTTAGTACGATACCGGTAAATATCATTTCTATTTCTCAAACAACCATGAAACGTATGCTTCCATATTCGTCCATCGGTCAAATAGGATATCTAATTATTGGAGACTCAAATGATGGATATGTAAGCTTGATAACTTATATGTTATTCTATATCTCCATGAATTTAGGAACTTTTGCTTGCATTGTATTTTTTGATCTATGTACCAAAAGTGATAACATTCGAAAGCTTTGGAACTTGGTTGAACAAAAAATGTTCAGAAATAACTTAACATACTTTTTATATTATTATTTTGTGTATAGTCAAATTTTCAGTAAAATGTGAATTCAGTGAAATTCTGACCATTTATTAAAAACGAAAAACTGATGCTTAAAATATAAACTAAGCTGTTTATATAATTATTCAAGCATATTGTAATTCTCTTTAGAATTTGCATTTTCATTCCTCTAAACTTACTAAACAAAGATACATATCCCACAAAATCCGCAGTACAACTTCATATCCACCGTTCACGTTGCCAATAGCAAGTCTTCGTCAAACATGCCACGAAACCCTGTGGAAGCGTACACCCCGGAGCCTATGAAGCCCATGGGCCCAACATGATAGTGACCGGCCCAGCAACTTGGCGGGTCATCTAAGGTGGATGGCCAAGAAGCAATAGGGCCCACTTTTCAATGTCACTTTCACTTATTCCATTCCAAGAGGATGCAGATAAGAATGTAGATGGGAAAAGGTCTTTTAGTCATTATTGGGCCCAGTGATTCTGGACTCATCGTTGTGATTGGGATTGGGCCTTTGTTTGCCACTTGACACAACTATTTTCTTTTACTTTTTCTTTTTGTGATTTAATGACAAAAATGTAGGTCGGGTACTAGGCGGCGTTATATTTTCAAAACAATCTTGCTACATGTACATCCTCATTTACGTCATGGCTTACCTACCTAGCACATTCTCATACCATCTTACATATTTAATCCAATTATTATAACACTTTCACGTCATCAATCTGTTAACCAACGTGTTAATCAAAGTGCACAACTAGTTTAATCCATCTTCGAAATCACGTTTCATAATTTATTAAAAATTATATTTTATTGTTGCTCCTGAAAAATCGACGTCTCTTGTATGAGCATCTTTGAAATTGTTTAAAGGATTCAACAAGCTTTATCCTTCTTTTGTGATTGGGTGTAAAAGCAGATATGTTACATCTCTTGACTTTTCCCTCTCTAGAAAGTTAAGTCCCTATTTGACAACTATTATTTCGAAATTATTTTTTTCTACGTATTCATTTTCAACCATTTATTCACACAATAAAATATTTGCACGTACATTCAAATTTTTTTAAAAATTTTTTAACCATATATTCTCCAAAAAAAAATTACTATTTAAAACTTCATTTTACCTAAATAATGGTTGTCAAATGAGGGCTAAGACTCGATTGATTAGCAAGAGTCGTTCTTGCAAGTCACGTCATTCTTTCGACATATTTCACGTAAATTTTGAAAAGTTAAAAACTTATTTTTGAGATTAATTTTTTTTAAAATATTTTATCTGAGAGCTTTTATAAAAGTTAGCATAAGGTATGGCTCCTTTCGAAAGCTCTACTTGAAGAAGTTTTCCCTCGGTTTCTTCCAAGGCACTCAACTTGTTTATCATCTTTTATGTGATTAAAATTAATTATTGACTTTGATTTATATTAAAATTTAAATTTTAATTCCTACTAAACGGGAACTGAATCTTTTTATAAAGTGTATTCCGACGATAGAAAACTTTCTTATTCTAGCCTCCACCAGCCTTGGATCAGATTGGTGACTTAAATTTTGTTATTTGTACATCAAATTTATACATAAATGGTTATTGAAAATAATGTAGAGGAAAAAAAATTGGACAAAAAAGTGACTGTGACTGATCTAAAAAAAAAAAAAAAGTGACTGTGTTTTAAACTGACAGTGACTTTCGTTATCTAATCTGTAATCCATAATCTTTACGTGACGATGACGTCACGTCAAAAGTGTAGGGTCAGCCTGACTCAGCCACATGGGGTATCCAAAGTTCACGTGCGGACCATGCTTTAATGTCAGGGGAACATACGAACTGCAGTTGCCGTTTCGGCCATCAATTCTTTTTAGCTTTACGATTCGGTTGAACAGTGTTTTATTTCTCAATTTTTCTTCTCTTTTTTGTAACTATCATTCAGACCACATTTCATTTACTTTTGTTTGGAGGGTAGTTGCAAGAGTTGCTGAATTTCATTAAAACCGTGTTTTTTGTCATGTAGATTGATAAGGTGAAATCCTAATTATCACCACGTTCCCAGAATTATGATTCAACGAGAACAAGACAAAATTACGTAAAATATAATCAATTTCATTAAATACATATTTTTCAACATACACAATTAAACTATCATTCATCCATTAGTCTCCAATTAAGTGTCAATTATGTGGACCGGGTCTTTCAAAAATATTGATGTAAAAAACTTGAGTTTTGTTGTGTTTGGATTGAAAATTATGAACTAAAATAAATTGTGAAAGAAATAAAAAAATATATCTGAAAATTTGAAAATCCAGTAGGGGCGACTACACCCACTAGATCCTTAATGGGTCCATAAAGCACTTTAGAGAGAGAGA